CACTCTATAAGTAACAAGTGATAAAATATCAATGTTTATCAATTTTTTGATTCAATGCTTTCATTTCTTAAATTTCAAATAAGATTTACTAAAAAAAAAAAAAAAAAAAGAAAAGTGAGCTTTTTGAGAAATGAAAGAATAATGATAAAATAAGTAAAATTCGAAAACTGAATGAATACTGAAATGAATTAATCATATTTGTTAAATAAATGATAAAATTTAATCAATTAATTATCATTTATAAATATTTTCAGTTGCATGCATGCATGCATAAAGATTATAATTGATAATCATATCAACTTGCATTACTTGCATTGCACATCATTCATTCCGTAAAAATGCATATCAAATTGTGAAAGATTGCCAATTTCAGATTTAATATTCTATAAAATTATAAAGTCGTACTCGTATCTAATTATCAAAACACGTTATCATTCCGTCAAATACGTTGCATTTCATTATTTCCGGATGGATTATACTATTGTTAATGTATTATTGTTGGTATTTATTGAATTTGTAATTGTATATTTTAAATATATTATTATCATTTAAAATTTTCACTTGTATCTCTTTATTATGGATGAAAAGATTTTATACTAATATCCATGTAAAATTTTTCAAATACTAAACAAATCTTTTCGATAATCTTTTTTTTGATATTTTATATGATAATTATTTAGAAATAAATGATATAGATAATTTATTTTAAATGTTAAATAGTTAAAATTTGAAGTATTTAAAAAATTTTGGAGTAATTTTTAAAAATTTTAAAATGGATTATAAGAATTGTACATCCTTTATCTGACTTGACAAAGTATGCTAACCGAAGGGATAATTTTAATTTCAAATCTATGCAAATGGTACTCGTTATTTATATTTAAATATAGCTAAATGTGAAAACTTATTATTTGTTATGTATTTTTATTTGAGCATTCTTTCTTTTTTCTTTATGTTTTTAACTTTTTTTTTTTTTTTTTTTTAAATATAGTTATAAATTGTTTTTATTATAAATGATTGGAATTTATGTTTAGAGTTTTTTATATTGATACGAGAATATGAAGGATATATATTCATTGTTTTCTTTTTTTATTATTATTATTATTAATTTTAATTGGTACCATAATCAGCCTTATGATATATTATCTATTGATTATTGACAATTTTAAAAAAATTTTAAAATGAATTACGAGGATTGTGCATCCGTTACCTGACTTGATAAAGTATGCTAACCTAATTTTAAATCTATGCAAATGGAACTCGTTTAGCTCAGGTAATTACCATCCGTCTAGATTAATCAACTTCTAATTAAATTTACAATCTGAAAATTTTGCTGTCAATGTTCAATTTTCAACTTTAACCTCTTTGACATACTCTTAAGAGCAAAGAGTAATGGTTAAATTTGTATATGTTATGTCTAGATGCCGAGAAAAAAAAAATAACCACTTCATAAATTTTAAATTTAAATTCCACTACTATTTGCTGTAAGTGTGAGTAAGAGCTATTATCAGTAAAGTTCCATCCACTTAAGTTAAGCGATAATAATTGATCTTCAAATTTCAAACATAAAAATTGCTTGTCATTACTTGAAAAATCAATATAAATTAAAAGAATACATGTTTAGCATAGATTATTACAAATGTTCAAAATTTGATGTAAACATTTAGCAAATGAAATGATGAAAAAAAAAAAAGAAAGTATCGAGAGTTTAAAGTATAGCAGTTAAAGTGTAGTTCAACAAGAATAAAATTAATTACTTAACGTTATAACAAACATACCATTAATTATTTGTAATATAAAATATTTTAAATCAAAAAATTTTCAATATATTTTTTTTATGCATCATAATTTATTATAAAATATATTTTCTAATATGATAACAAAAGTTAAAAATTTTAATTGGTACATTTATTTGTAGCTTTTAATATAATAACAATTATGATACATTCAAATTATTTGTTTCATACTATCATTTTTATCACTTTTTCTTCCCCTTTTAACATTTTCTTCTCTAAAAACTTTTAGCTATTTTTATTATTGTCCTCAAAAAAAAAAAAAAAAAAAAAATGTTAGATTTTTTAGCTTTTAACTTTTTTGTAGAATAAATAACTTTTTATTGATTGTATTCTATTCTTTTTCTCGTTTGTTTCGTTGTTTCTTTTTTTCGTTCTTCTAAAAAAAGAAAATATTTTATTAACATATATTTACATTTTTAACTCTTTCATCTTAACATTTCTTGTCCTCTATGACTTAACAAAATTAAATTTATTTAGCTTCGTTTTTTTTTTTTTTTTTTTTTTTTTAAATTAGCAACAACAAAGCTATTAATTGCACCTTGAGAAACATATTATTTGATTTGGAAAAAACACCTGTTTCGTTAGATTGTTTTTTTCTTTTTTCCACTTTTTTTTTTTTCTTTTTTTAACAATTATAAAAATTAACTTACTTCTGGAATGATAGAAGCACTATGAACTGTATATATTCCAGATAGATATGCTAAATTAGTAACTAAAAAACATATTCCAAATATAAAATATAATAAAGCGCCGATTGTAATCGTAAAAAGTCTTTCATTACTTTCATAAATATTAACTAAAAAAAAAAAAAAAGAAAAAAAGTGCATCTATAAAATAATGTATGTTTTTAAAAGTAAAAACTTTCTCCAATTATTATTTTTTTTTTTTTTTAAAAATCTTATCACGAAATATTGAAATTAAATGAATGAAACTGATAATAAAATGATGATAACATTCTATTGATATTTTTAATAGTAAATTCAATTAAAGAAAAAAAAAAAAGAAAAAACCTGCGAATGGATGATGCATTTGCGTATTTTCCTGAACAAATCGTTTCCATATACGTGGCCATACACGTAATCGTCTCTTATCACAGCGTATATCCACTCTAACTGATCCGTTATCAGTTCTGATAGCATTATCAAAATATGCATTATCATAACAACCGTTACGCTATAAATATTCTTTGAAATATAATAAAACTTAGCAATTGTAACAATATTGGTCTACGATATGTTTAATTACCATTTAATGAAAAGTTCACAGAAATTATTTTAATTAATTATAATTAACTAAAACTTATAAGATCAACTGAGAAGTTTCGTTTCTTCTTTTTTTTTTTTTTTTTTTTTATTCCTTATCAATCATGTATCATGCATTGATAAATTCTATTATAAGATTATTTACCCAACTTGTCATTTTCATATAACTGTATGGTATAACCCATTCAATTATATCTGATCTGTTTTGTATTGCTTTAACATTTGTGCCAAATATCATTTTGATAACTTCATTGCACCCATATGTTCTGCTGACAATGATAAAATTTTGGTTAAAAATTTGCAGTTTCACTTTAGAATATTTGCAATCATTTAATCGATATATCAGTGATATCTACAATATATTATTTACTATTACTATTATTATTATTATTATTATTATTACTATTACTATTATTATTATTAATATTAATTATATTGCAATGATTTAGCTTTTGAAATATCAGTTATAGTCTATTTTTTTGAAAAGAAATGTAGCTTTTAAAATTTAAAATTTAAAAAAAAGTGCATACATTATTATACCATTGTTGTTCGATAAAAAGCGATAAATGATGTCTTGAGATGATTTGATTTGATCTTATCAGTTGCATTAGCAACAAAACAATGGCAATTATCATATATGACCGCATTCCAATAAGCATTCTTTTTCCTACAATAATTACTTTATATATATTTGAAGGTAAAAAAAAGAGGTAAAATTTTTAATAATTATAAAATTTCAGATATTAAATATATTTACATTAAAAATGCATATGTTTTATTAAGAAATTTGCATACTAATATCATTTAAGTCTTTGCTACACAATTAAAATGATTTATTATTAGTATTTTTTTTTTTTTTTTTTTAAATGAAAATATGTAAAGTACATAATAAAATTAAAAAGCTTTATGAAATTGTCATTTCCTCTTTGTCTAGGAAAATGCCATTGAAAAATTTAAATACTACTAGTATATAGAATCAAAATTAAGTCTTAGTCATAATATTTATTACTATTGTATTACTTACGTATGTATTATTTCTGAGAAAATAAATTACTTTTGACAGTAAAAATTTTCTCACAATGCATTCATTTTTTTTTTTTTTTTTTTTTTTAAAATGAGAATATAAGCTATTAACAAGGAAATTGAATTGTTCTGTTATGAAATGTCGAAATTTATTATATCAAGGAAAATTTTTATTTTCTTTATTAATTATTTCACACTTGTTCTTTGAAATTCATTCTTTTTTCCCACCTGTTGACATATTTAAGGACATATAGAATTTACTGCTATTTATTCAACCAATCCTCATTTTATTCAGTTTCCTATATATTACTCCACAAACTTGAGCTATTAAATCACAATTTGGTCTTTTCCATTTTTTCTAACAAACAAATTTTTGATAACAGTAAAATTGTTTGTTCCTAAACAACAATTTTTAAATGCAATTAAAACCACTCATATATCAAATTAATTTGGTTGATGAGCGATAATAATGTAAACACTGTAACTAGTAGTTTTTCCAGTAGGCGTAAAAATGAAAATTTAATTTAATAGTTAAATTCTTAATTTTCATATTAATTTCAAATATTCATACATCAAAATAATCAATTTCCGCTCAATAATTTCATTTCCTACTTTGGAAAATCAAATTTTAAAAAGTTTTAAAGTTTTGTTTGCATTTCAAACACTAAAAATGTTAATTGATTAAAATTCATTTTAAGCAAAATATTCAAATTGATAAGAACAACAATTTTCAGTGATAATTATGATAGCTCATTATTACTATATTATTGCATTATTTCTAATATCACCCTTGAAGTGTTGCGAAGAAGAAAATAAGACAAATGTATTTGACATAAGAGATGAACAGTATATGATTACAAAATATACAGTACTTCTACTCTTTTCTCTCTCCTTGCTGTACAGTATCACTAGTACTGTACTAATGGCTATCGTATGCTGCAATCGGGATAATCTTTATGGCCATTCATTTATCGTTATTGTATCACAAATTATTATTTGTCAATTTATAAATTTTACTCCACAAATTACTATTGTATTACCTAAAATATTACTGTCTAAAAATAGTTCATATGGTAAGTACTTTATTTGCACAATTATTTTAAGGTAAAGTTAGGATGAACGAAAAGTTAAGCCTATTATTGAGGAGTAGAAATAGTGTGCTAAATCTCTAATAATATTTTAAATTTGATTATCTAATTCTTAATTCAATAGTAGCACACTGCTACAAATAAACATTTTATTGATCTAATCAGAATTGCAATCACTGATATGATTTTATTCATAGCCAAAACCGTCCAAGTATTAGTCATATAAGGAATACGAAATAAGTGGCAAGTAACTAACATCTAATTATTTCATCTAAACAACTTTTAATAAATTGTTTATTTTGTGATGTAGCATACAAAACAGCGTGGATTAATCGCATATTCGCTACAATTAATGTATTTTCATTTTACGACATACTATGTTTTTCATTTTTATTAACACTGAATCGATTCGTGGCTATAATTTTACCAAAATATATTGTTTTGTTCGAATCAACAAAGTTGTATTTTGTCCTCTTTTTCACATGGTTGACAGTCTTTGGTATGATAAACTGATTTGTCTCTTTATCCAAAAAACGTTTATTACATTTTTAAACAGCTAAAGATTAACAACTGATCACTGATGCCAGTTGATAGTTTTACTGACTGTCAACTTTATCCATATTTAAATAATTTTAGAAATAATCTTTTATTTTAACAGCCTGCTATTAATTTAATATTACCAAATAAATTCTAATTTTATAAAAAGGCCAGGAAAACAAAATTCTAGACTCATAATTTATTTATTTATGTTGAATTTGAAATTTTCAGCACTTACATTTGTGGACTTTCATTATTGCACGAGAAGTTTTCAAGTCTCAACATTGCTTTGGATAAGAGATTGTAGCAAACAATCAAGTGATAGCGGACAAGTTTTTCTAATGTTAGATTTAAGATTGCTTTAATTTTTTTTTTCTTTTTTTAGAGCTTATAAATTTTTAAAATCATTTCATTTTAGCTTTGCATTAAAAGTTTATGTTTATTTCTTCCTTTTTTGTAAGTATAATAAGAAAAAAAAAATCAAAAAATTAACATTACCATTTTATAAGATTAAAATTTTCATTTATGAATTAATTATCTCTTATCAGTTTTCAGTTTCTTCTATAGTTGCGAGCTATTTCTATCACTTACAATATTCGTTATGTACTGCGCAATTATTTCCACAATACGTCACCGTTTCACTTCAATTAAGAATGAAGCACAAAGTTCATTTTAATAAATCGTTTTCCTTTTTCTAAAATAACAAAATAACTTTTTGAAATTTTACTTTTCCATATTACATTGTACATAAATAAGTTTTTAAAATCACTGAAAAATTTTTCAGAATTCTTTTGATGCTTATTAAATCTTTATTGTTTTTGCTAAATTAAATATAAATTGATGAAATTTTAGCAACTGATGGAAGATATGGAGGACATAGAATGAGTATGTTGGAAAATATTAAACGTGAACGGTCGATGTTAATTCTAGCTGCAATGACTTCTGGCTCATTAATAATTTCAGTAATATTAGTTGGTATTTTGCCAATGCTTCTGGTAAAAAGTTTTTGTCAAGAAGGTTTAATTACGATGAATATTCTCATCAATTTAAATGTCATTTTAGGTCGTTGTGTATTACCTACAGCTTTTTTTTTAACTAATAAACGTGCTCGTAAGTATTTACACTCACGTCTGAGGAATAGCGTAGTAAAAACGACTCAATTCCAAATCACCAAATAGAAAAATTACGAAAAAAGAACAAATCTTTGACTGAAAGTACTTCAGACACCTTTTTTTTTCCTTTTTTTAAAAACTAAAAAGATCAATATACTGATCATTTGGGTATTACGATGTTATAATAGATAATACATTTTTTTGTGGTATTTTCAAATAAACACAAATATTCATCTTCTTAACTGATTTAACACATTTAGAATTTTTGTGTTCACATTTTTTCTATACGTTAAATTTGAAATAACACTGATAGGTGTAAAGTTTGCATGTGTCATATTTGAAAAAAAGTTTTAGTTTTTAAACACATTTGATTTTATTAGAAAGTATGTGATTATTTCACGTTTTATATTATTTGTGAATGAATAAATAAATTTACTCTCAAATAATGATGAAAGAAGCTTAAACATTGACTTCGACAACTTCATATCATTGATCTTCATATTATCGCCTTTCAATGTAGACATCCTATCACTAAAAGCTAACAAGTCAAATTTTTTTTTTTCATTAAAAAATTTTCTTTACTTATTAAAAAATTATTTATTAAAAAGATTAACTATTCCTTAAAATAAAATTTTTGTTAACCAGTAAAAATTAAATTTTACTGACTACTTTTGCAAATTTTAAAATATAACAAAAACTTAACTATTACTTATTTCTTGCAAAGTAAAATATATGAAGTAAACTATGAAGATATTTATAAATAAATATTACATCCTCTTGGTTCAGTGGCATGCGCAAAGTAACGCATGCGATATTATGATTATAAAGAGCTTTCATAGTTAAAAAATCTATAAAAATGATAAATTTTTAAAATTGCTGAAACCAATCAAACATGAATTTCTTTCCAACGATACAATTAGTAGAACAAATTAGAAAATTTCATTTTTCATAAAAGTAAGGAAATCAAATTTTAATTCATTAAAATTTTCTGTATAATAAATAAGATTACAAATGATTACAAGATATAAATTTAATTAAACCTTCGATAATAACTGGTTTTTTCTTCATTATCTTAATCAAATACCGTTTTCAGATGTATCGAGGCAGTCTTAAGCAAGCAATTGAAACATACAATATGCCAGGTTTACAGTATGCTAAGAAAACATACGGTATACAGTACGCTAAGGAGGCATACGGTATACAGTATGTTAAGAAAAGAAAAAAGCAAAGGATTTAACTTTTAAAAACTGGTTCCATAAATTGCTAATATAATATTGTCAAAAGAAGTGAATATATTACAAAAAGAGAATATCACTCAATCATAACATTTGTCGTGGAATGTAGACTGTCAGATATTTTATTTTGCCTCAAACTTGGGTAATTAAACCAACAAATCAACATTATAACAACGCGTAACGAAAGACATAACATAATTATAAAACAATAATATCGAAAACCACCCCAAAATATAGAATGAATAAGTGCAATAGAGGATGGCTGGTTTATATACAGAACTGAACTGATCAGATATCCGGCAGAGGACATTTAACTGATGTGAAACAAAGATTGCTAATAAAGGGTTTTTGTTAACAAAGGGTTTGCTAACAAAGGGTTTTTTATTGTGTGAGAAAAAGGAATTAGCATAATGGCTTAAATGATCTAGATATAGATTAGTTACAAATGCGAAATTATTTGGTGAATGACTTATTAGATATCTGGCAAAAGTATTAGAATTTGAATGTAATTTAAATGGGTCGTTTTTTATGACAAAAGAGATATTTCAGATTTTTTTTTTCTGTTCATTTTTAAAAAATTAAAAGTTTTGGAAAAGCACAAGACTAAAATAAGATTAAGCAATTTAAACTTCATAATTAGTTGAAATCACTTATATTTCCATTTGTCAATTATATTTCCATTTGATGATATATTTAACAAATAAGCTAATGCGGACTACCATCATCCAAGGTTTAAACTGGAATTTACATTACAAAACTATTCATGAGAATTATAACTGTGAATATCAATATGCTGAAAATAGATTGGTTACTTAGATTTTTTAAATCATCTGAACTCATGGAGTGCATTTTTACAATAGAGAAAAAAAAAAAGAAATAATTTACCTGATTTATTTATACCCTTTTCTTTTTTCACTCCATACTGAATTACAATAGTAATATTTTCATATATGTAATGGTTTGAATGAATTCACTTAACATTTGATATTTGCACATTTGGTCGTCGCTAATTACTAATCCGGGATTCAAATTTGATCATCGCTGATTATTAATCCGGAATTCCTTGGATGTTATGGAATTTTCCTGATGAATAATTTGGTTATATTATTACAATCAACAAAATCTTGCAAAAAAAGAGGTATCGCGATATGTGATAGGCGATAAAAGTAATCGTCTGATTTCTTTTTAATGATTTACTTCGCAACATCCGTAACATCGAGTGAGTAAATAGGATCCGAAGTTGAATCCGAAGAATCGAGATTATTAATATTCAGAAATACTTGTCTATCAGGAATCTTATCTTTTATCCACAGGTTACTAATGTCGTTTGAAACAACATATTTCATTTGTATACAACAGATGAATAAATTAGAGAAACTGATCATCAGAATGAGAAAACCGGGATTATTTCTGGAAATTTAATGGACCTCATTTTGGAGCAACTGGGGAAAAAAAAAGTAAATATACAAATAATAAAATTTTAATAACTACTGTAGTAGTAGAACAAATGGGAAAACAATATTTTCAAAATTAGAAGAAATTTTTAAATTAAATCTTATGAGAGCTAATTGATCATTTGATAGAAGGAAAATTGCTGAGAAAAATTAATCTCATCTAATCAAAACAAGAATTTTGAAAATGAATTAAGCCATTTATTCGGAAAAAAAAAAAAAAAAAAACCAACCAACAAAATATCTACTGCTAATCAATCAATAATCCATCCATTCAAAAGAGAAAATTTCAATCTTATCGGAATTGATAATCATATAGAAAAAAAACGCGTCAGTTTTTACCGCGAAAATATTTCGGGCCGCGGCCATCAACCAGTAAACTATCAGTAATTGTCTATTGATCGCGCAAAAAAGAGAAATAATTTTAATATAGTTTGAACTCAGTACTAATTTTCATATTTTATCTCTCTACGTTGATTATATTTGCTATGAAGTTGAATTTTTTTTTTAATTTAATGAAATTAGAACATTTAATTAACACTTTAAAAAATTTTTTTAACTTCAAAAATTTCAAACTTTAATTCATATTTTGATTCATTATATGTTTGTTTATTTATAGTAATGCGGTAAATTTTGATTATGTTTTGCTGTAAGGTTATTTATTTCAGGATGTTTCCTTATGTTCACTTAATGCATTCGTTGTATGATCGAGAGGTAATTATCACGTGACTGATTATCACATGATTGGAAAATTTCATTACATGCATGTTATAATTTATAAATTGCATAAGACAAAAATTTTCGAGTAATATTTAATATTTCCATTTTCTTTTTGTTTTAAAGTATAGTAATGTGAAATGTAAATTTAACTTTCTGTTCATACAAATTGTCTGTTCTGTCATTATTAATGCATAACTATAAGACATGTGTTTATTTCAAAAAAAAAAAAAAAGCCAAATTATTTTGTTTTGTACGCTTAATAATTAGAACATTATACGATTTAGAACACATTACTATCATTATTATCGGATGCTGAAGCTCATTTTCATATTATTATGTTAAATTTTTTAATGAGTACTTTCTACACAAATGTTTTATAACTCATAATAACCATATTTTTTTTTAATAATGGTAAAGGAGGACATGCGATATTTTGGTCTAAGTTTAGTTGCTATCGTTAATTACAAAACTTGTTATTTCATGAAGTAACCCTTTCCTATGCATTATTTTCAGGGTTTTATCGCAGTTAAATTCGCGTGTTATTGATTTCACTGAACAATTTTGTTTGTGACAGTAGCAACGAAATAGTATATAACACATAATAATTTGTTACTGTGATATATCGTACAAAAAAAAAAAGTCTATCGGTCTTTGAAATAAGACAACAGGAACTGTTGAACTTGGGAACTGTTCTTCTTTTGCTGTTGCTGCTACTGCTGTATCCAAAGGCTTTGCTCGCCGCTGAATGCTTGGAAGCGATCAGCGAGAGACTCTGTTTTTCATCATTCATCGATCTCATTTCTATACATTTGTGTCTTGTACCTCTGTAATTAGGTAAGTATAATTTTTTGTTTTGGTAAGTTCAAATTTCTTTTCAAATAGGAGAAAAGGTAGAAATGTCTCTGTTTCTTTAATGGAAATTTTAAGTTGGGATTTTCAAAAATCATAATCTATTGTAAATTAAAATCATAGAATGATATATTTTAGAAAAGCTGATAAGCTTTATTTTAAGGTCCAGTTTCTGATGTTTTATTTTCGGAATATTAGGAGAGGTGATATAATAGAAAGTCACAAAATTTAATGAAATGTTCGATGATTTCCATGTGCAATAAAAACATATGCTTTGTATTCGTAGTTTTTTTCAGCTCACTTTCAAAAGCATTTCAATGGCCGAAAAACGAAAACTGCTCAATGAAATTGATAAATGTTTCAAAAAGGTCGCTGTTTCAAATTTGGAGCCATTTTTTAGGGCATTTTTGATTTCATTTTATTTGCTTAATTCAAATTAAAGCAATTCTGAGCTATTACAATGCTATTACAGGTGGAGGAAGGAGTGGAATTATTCGAAGAAACAATGGCTAAAATGCAGGAAGCAAATAGCGATAATCAGAGGGAGAAGTTTCAGGTTTATCTTCTCTCTAAAGTTTTTGGTTTAAAGCAAGACTTGTTTAATTCATAAACACCACTGAAATCTTAACTCAATTTGTTAGTAGACGACGGGATATTTTCGCGGAATTTGCAATATTTGCCAAATTTTCGAAAGTATCTTATGAATGGAATCTATTTGAACATTGGCAAAGTTTTTTCGGTTCATTTGTGTTTTAGGACACTGTTTCAACGTATTGATTCATTATTACAAATCAGTACTATTGAATAATATTTCAGGATGATTTGAAGAAAGAAATAAAAAAGTTGCAAAGGTTAAGGGATCAAATTAAGGGTTGGCAAAACTCATCCGATATTAAGGTTATTGTTTTCTGTGTGTATGAATTTTTTGCAATTCAAAAATGCTCAGATTTTTTGAGTCCTGCAAAATCTTTTATCAGTTCTTAGGTGTATTAACAGAACTAAAGAAATATAGAAATAAGATGTTAAGGTTAATATGGACTAGAAAATTGAATTATGCTGATATTATACTCGGATCTCTGCTTTATGCCTATGCAAACACGCTTATAATGATGATGATTTATATTCCTAAGCATTTTTCAGGATAAGGATAAATTGACTTCTTATCGGAAATTAATAGAACAAAGAATGGAGCAGTTTAAAGATATTGAAAGGGAGAATAAAACCAAACCACATAGCAAGCAAGGGTTATCAGCCGAAGAAAAGCTTGATCCACGAGAAAAAGAAAAAACAGAAACTGTAGAATGGTTGCAGGTATTTTAATATTTGGCATTTCAAGATTTCTTAAGAATTCTAAGTTTAGCTGAAATCTTATATGCCGGAATTTTTTTTTAAAAGCAAGTTTTTAGTGCCAAATACGATATCTGGAAGACGAAGCCGATAAGACTGAATCACAAATTGAATCTTTGTCAACAGCTGATCAAACTCGAAAGAAAGGAAAAAGAGATGATCCAAAGAAAGGGGAGAAAGAGGTGCATTAGTTTTCCTTATCTGTATTTTTTCAATAATTCGTCTTGACATCTTTTGAACAAAAGGCGTTCCACTCCGTTGTCTTTTCTATCCCAGTTTTATTAAAATTTATAAGTTGAATAACCCATTTCTCTTGAAAAATCGTTTGTTTACCTTTACTCACTGTTCAGGAATAGGAGATGAAGAGAGAAATGATATATTATTGACAAATTGCAAGTTTTTTTTTTTTCAATTTTCCACATCCAATAATTACGAATACGTACAATGTTTTTCATTATGCGAGTAAAAAGAATAGAGTCATCAGCAGCTTAATTACTGAAGCGTTAAACTATGTACATTTCATATTCTCAGATTATTCATCTCAAATAAGAAGCAACAAATTTGCTAGCAGTTTGTGGAAATTATGCACTAGAAATTATCTTGCAGTAAAAAATTATTTTAGAAATTGAAACGACTGGATGATTTGAGAAAACATCTGGAACGGATAAGGTTTCATGTATCAAAATTGGAAATTTGTATGAGGCTTGTTAATAACGAAACATTAGAAAGTAAGAGAGTAATGGATGCGTTAAAAGAACCTTTCGAAATGTACATCGAATCTTTAGATCCTGAAAGTGAAAATGATTCTGAATCATTTGATCCTGAAACAACAGGTTAATTTTTTATTATTCAAAATTGTTTTTATTACAGAATGTCGTAGAATTCAAGTGGTTTTATGAATAACTGAATTTGTGAATAAAAAGTCTGCTTTCCAACTAACTGTCTTTAGTTACATTTTTAAGCACTAAGCTCTCTGGATTATTTTTTAATTTTGCAATAATTTATTGAGTTTTATCATCTGTTACAGCCAAATAGAAAAAATGATTTCAAATTTCAGGAGTTTATGATGAGTTAGATTTGCAGTCATATACTCCACAGTTAGGTGGTGCTATTTTTGGTTCGGTTGATTCTGATGAGAAAATGGAAAACAATATCGATGGGAGAATATCACCAGCTGCATCACCTGCACCGGTTTTACCAAAGGTTTTTTTATAACCCAACTAAACACAATTTTTTTCTGTATATATTATTAGAATCATTTCAAGGGACAACTTTAATTTTGTGTTCAGGAATCCATTTCATAAATTACTTTGAGTAGATATGAACTTACTGAATTATAAAAATTTGTTTACCAGTAGATATTTTGTTTTATATTGAAATCTAATCTTTGAAGCACTAATATCATTTAGGAAACGGACGATAATGCAACAAAACAAAGACATTTGAGTGGCGAGCCCAGTGCACTTCTTACACGACAAATATCAGCTAGCAGGAGTACACCAGCTACACCATTAAAACTTACCAAGTTAGTAATATGCTCTTATTAGCTTATACTATTTCTAAACAAATTACTTCATTTATATTTCGATTCCTCGAACCTTAGGAAGTGGGAAAGGTTCAAAGTAACTATGGTGCTTCGGACCAAGAGAAAGTCGAGATGAACTAACTTTTACTGTTTATATGCAATATATGCATTCGTTCCTGTTAAGTTTAGTAATTCTGCAACTTTGAAATGACACTTTTCTTTTATGATTTCATAATCTTCATCGAATATTTAGAATATAAATAATGAACTATACATCTTTTTCCCCACTTCATTATGAAGTAAAATTGCTAGCCTTGGTATATAAGAAATTAGCTGTGATGTGCATCAGTAAACAGAGAACTGTTGTTTAGGCAAAAAGTTATATCCTCTAGAAGGTTCCATGTTCAAACAATCAATTGTTGTCTTTTTTTTTATTTGTTGATCTCCTGAAATTGGCGCGATACTCCTGGTTCAAAATATACTTATATTATATTTTATTATTATATTATACTCATTTATCGACACATATATTAATTCTATTCATATATTTTGCCGTTTATGTGCATATAAATATATGCGCATATGTGTATTTTTATAGTCTACTATGTTAAACATCGTTAACGTACCTAATTTGAAAATACTTTGCAGGTTTGTGCAATATTTTGATTTTGTTTCCTTTTAATTATATGTAAATTGTTATTTCTCTTGAAACTATTCCTTTGTTGAATCTAAAAATAAAAGTAGGATTGTTAGGCTGTTAAGTAAGATCATTCGATATTGGTTACGCAATAAAGTGAGTGGTTATAGGAATAATCTGATCAGTTCTCAAAATAATTTGGAAAACAGTTTAACGACTGACATTGTAAGCTGTTTTATTAACATTACATTTCCATTCATGCAGTTATGTTATCTGGAAGAATATGCTAGCTAAATTAACAGATACCGCAATGATCATTAGATGTCACAGTGTTCTTTCTTTAATTCTTTTCGCATAATGTTTTAATCCTGGATTGTTCAAACTTCACACTACTTAACTATAGTGATGAAAACTCTCTTATAACCGATCAAATGTCTTGACTGATTTTTTGCGAACATTGCTTGAGTTCTATAAAGAGTGTTTAGAATTTAATCCTGAACTATAATATAATTTATTAGAGGCAAAGGAAAATCATAAGGATAAGTAAATGTATCATACCGAGTTTTGGTATTTCAGTACCTAATATTGTTACTTATTAATAAGAAAGCGAGGCTAAGTTTTTATAATTTTATTCACGAAACTATAAGTTCAACAATAAAATAGTGAAAGGGCGAATAGAAATTTGTTGAATAAGGATAAGGAAGTGAAGCAAAATTATTTATAAGGTTAAAATGCTGATTAATTTGTTTCTTTATTTTAGATTTTTTCTTCATTTTGAAAATTTAAAAAGGAAGTTTTTTAGTCAAGTGAGCGGTGAAAGTTCGCTTAGTTCACCACCGCCACCAGCCACACCACCACCACCTCCAGGAATACCATACAGCGTGGCTGTTGGACTTGGGACGAAAAACACCAAAGGAAGCATTTTACAAACAAGGTTTTTTTTTTTGAAATCCATTTTCCATCTTTCTCTTAAAATTCCGGAACATTTCTGTTATGAGTATTAAATAAAGTGCTGTAATTTTTGGCAATACCATACTGGCAGAAGGTCTGGTAAGTATTGATATAAAAAGGGTTCATTTTTCAATTCAGCCATTCATTTTCTTCTAATATTTACTCCCTCATCTTCTCTCTATTTTCTCATCTTGATTTGTCGTACTTGAATTTATTTTAAGGCCTGCCACTTTTATCATTTAAGATCAAATGAAACTTTTAG